GTTGCACTTTTTTCGCACGCCGCAAACGTGCAAATAGCTGCGTGCCTCAAAGTGGGCGTCGGCCTTTAAACGGGCCTTAGCTGGCGCAGAAATTTAACTGCACTACTGCAACCACCTTCCTTACTCGTAACTTCTGCTTGCCTGTGGCAAGTGGCACGAACTTTTGACGTGCCAACGATGTTGCACTGCCACAAACAATAACAACAAAAACAATATTCAATAATGGGTGGCTGACTGACAGACGGACTGGGGCGGAGCCCTACATAATTGCTAAGCTTGTGAGTATTTTGGAGGGGCTGGAAAATGCTGCTGCGACTGCTCGAATGTGTTTCCCAATTGCAAGCGGAAATTTATTTGAAAAAGCTTTATACACCCACACACACACTTATATATATATATATATATATATATATATATATATATATATATATATATATATATATATATATATATATATATATGTATATGCATTCGTATATGTGTTTTTTTTTCTTACCTGCAGATTTAGTTGATGGGCATAGTTGTGAGGGTGGCAGACAGCCAAAGGGGCGAATACTTGAGGTTCATTGCTCATACGCCGCGTGGTCTGGCAGTTGCAGACAGTCGACAAAATAGACTGCGGAGACAAAATGTGTGGAGCGTCAAGATTGGCCGCGCTTCAGTTTAAAGTTGAAATCGTTTGCATCTTAAGTTTTATTTTTTGGTGTCAATGACTTGTGCGCCAAAGTTTCTTTTTTCCGCGCTCTGTCTTTCTTCGCATTTCTGTTGTTGTTGCTGCTGCTGCTGGTATTGTGATTGTTGTTGTTGAATCTTGGGCTGGGCGGGTGGCTGCCGCTCTCTTTTCTTGCTGACTAATGTGGAGTTGTTGACGTCGTCCTCCCCTTCACGACAACTCTTGCGACGTTTGTATTTTAATTTTTATGTTTGGCTTTTTATGATTTCTCCAACTGCAGCATTATTGTTGTTGCTGTTGTTGGAGCTGAGTGTTTACACTCCAAACCTCATTTGCATTTTGTCGCTGTTGTTGTTATTGCTGTTCTTGCTGGTTTTTATTATCGGGTTTGTTATTGTTGTAACTGTTTGTTTGCTCTCTTTTGTGGAATGAATAAGGCTCACTTTGCATTTTTTTTTTTGTCAAGTTCAATGACAAAGAAGGACAACAAGACGAAACCAACAGGAGAAATAGGACAAAATTCATACTAAGTAGTACACCAGAAATAAGCAGATCGCTTAAAAAGTCTGCTAAGACAAGAAGAGACGTGAAAGGTAGTGCTACCAAGGCACTAACGATAAGAGAACTACTTCAATAAGCAGCCAGGGTACGAAATCAAAAACAAAGTTATGACTTTAGGAATCGACGGACAAGTACAACTACAAAAATCCAACGAGATAAAACCATAACAAAGAACTATGTCTCTAAATAGATAGAAAAATCAACGAGACAATTAGTGGAAGTCAAATATGTAAGTGTAACGAGCATTTCTAACGAGATGACTGTATCAAGACGTTAACTGCCAGACAACCAGTGAAAGAAAACAACAACAAGACACCCTCAATGGCAAACACTAATAACGAGACAGCAAAGAGCTAAAGAGTAGACAACTTCAGCCGTATAGTAAGGAAACAACATCAACAGAGAGACAACAGCATCGAAACAAATGGCAAGAAGCAGAACGAAGCTTTGTTTAAACTTTTGTCTATTGTTGTGGCTCTAACAGTCGTGGTTGTTGATATTGTTAGACTTTTGTCAAGATTTGTGGGTCACTGTTTTTGCTACAATCATGAAAATGCAGCATGCTTGTGCTTTAATTTTCTTTTTTTTTTTTCTTTGCCATTTATTTTTGTGGCCCTCCTTTATAAAAAATAATAACAACAGCTGCTGCCGCTTTTTTTCATTTTACCCGGCAATTTGTTTACTTTGGCTTGCCGGTCATAAATTTTCCTACTGACTTGAATTGAGACTCTGGTGCTCAACACGCCATATGCAGCTTTTCACATAACAACAACAATGACAACAACAACAACACTCACAATTATTGCGTGAAATTTTCATTTTGTGTTGCCCGCTATTTTTAGCTTCAACTTTTTGCCCTTGGAATATTTGACATGATTTTCTGCTTTGATCATAAATCAAACAGAAATTATACATATAAAATAAATACACACATACATATACGTATACGCACAAGAAAAGTTGTGAAGAAGCGCGGCAAATCGAGCAGGCTAAGAACTAAAGATAATTATTTATTAGGGTCGAACAACAAACAGGCTATTTCAGTTCTCACGTGGAAAAGTTTCTATTAGCCAGCCAGCGTTAGTGTTGGGCGCTAAAAAGATGAATAGAATAGAAAAGAAAGGCAATTGATGAAAGGCAAGAGAGACAAGCGGCAAGCGCACTAAGAAATACATACATATATTGATGCAAAAGATCAATAAACTTTTGGCAAACAAGAAACTGAAGCGAAAAGAAAAGAAATTAAAGCGCATAAAAAAAAGATTACAGCAAAATAAGAAATAATAGTAGTAGACGACATCAGACGACAGACGCGGCCCGGCGCAAAAATCATCATCATTGGAGTAAATGTCTTTTGGCTTTACGCGTCCATGCGGTTGTTTGTCTGTCTGTCTGTCTTTCTCCGTCTCCGCCTCCCTCTCCGTCCCTCTCCATATGTGTCTGTCTGTATTCAGTCTGCGGTCGGTGTCTGGCCATGGCAAACATATTGCCATGGGCTTATATATGTGTGTACATATGTACATAGATTTTCTTATGTGTGTGCGCTTTTATACTATTTTATTTTATTTATTTTTTTATATAATAAGCGACAGCAATACATCATAGCTGGCTGCTGATTGTGCTAGTTGTTGCTGCCTTCCTTGTTGTATATATTTGCTGCTTGAATTGGCCGACTGCTTCGGTTTTTGGCATAAACTGCGGCATCATTATTAACATGCGAGCGAAGCTCCTGCTCAGTCCTCCTTTCGAGTCTGCATCCAACAGTGGCTCAAAATGTGATTCCCATAGGATAAAATTGTGTGTTTGGTTGGTTATATCCTCGTGTTGGCATAGTATCCTCTGTAGAGTCATTTAAAGCAAAAATTGTCGTCACGAAGGGAATCGTTGTCACTATATTTAAATATGTCTGACATCTGACTGCTCATATTTAGTGTTCCCAAAAGGTAGTATGTGCACTAAGCTTCATATGCACATCTTTCCCTTCGCTGACCTCTTAAAAAGCCATTAGCTTTTTTTTTAATTAGCTACGATACTAAACTTCGCCTGCCCTAAACTTTTCGGAGGGGGTTATTATACTACCCTTGTTCTTTGTTAGGCCTTTTATCCACAATATAGCAGAATAAATGATAATTTGATCGAAATTATTTTACCAAAAGACATTTGTTTTTTTTTAAAATTAGCTACGATACAAAACTTCGCCTGCCATTTCTTCCTCTTCTTCCTTCTTCCTTCCTTTTTTGAGGGGCTTATTACACTACCCGTTTTTGTTTGTTCGGCTTCTTTACCACAATCTAGCAAAATAAGTGAGTTAACAGTTTAGGAGCATAATAAACATAATTTGATCGAAATTATTTAACCAAACATGCTTTACTCTAATATCTATTACAAACAAATGCGATATAAATAAATCTGAAGATTGTTGTATTATGACATTAGTTCTGTCTAGCTGCTTTTGTAATTGTATCCACTGTGCATAAGTTATAAATGTGCTTTCGCCTGTTTATGACAAATTTACGACTTTTACCAGACACCCAACTTTACACACCTTTACCATCTGTCCCATCACTCAATGTTTCTCTGTGTCGTTCTCTCTTTACATCAATTTGTCAGCTGTGCATGGGCTATTTTCGAAGGGAAAATTATACTTATAATAAAATTGTAACACACACGCACACGAAGGAGAGGAAGTCCCCACATTTAAATGCAGCAAAAAGCTAACAAAAAATATTAATTTTAAAGGATTACAAAACTGAACGTGCAATATTTTACAGCCCGTACTCGAAGAATAAAGCATATGATAGTGAATTTAAATGTTAAATGTATGTAAAAGGCAGAAGAAGCCCCAAGTCATAGGTGGACATAATTATGATCAGTATGACAAGACGTTTCGATATATGCATAAGTTTTTGTCCGTTCGTATGAATGGCGAGAACTTTTGAGTCAGAACGACCAGGCACATCGTTTTTGGTATATAGGCTTGCCTTATTTCACACAGCCAGTCATTAATTTATTTACCATAGGGTCGATCTTAGTACAATTACGCTTTTTATGAAGATCTTAAGCATATCTGGTTTTTTATGAGTTTGAATCACTCATCACATACTGAGTTTTCAACCAAATTGGTTACCCATGGGACAATTAATATTTGTTTATAAAGATATTTAAAGAAAAAAATTAGAAGGATATTTTAACTACATAAATGTGTTTGTTTTAATTATTCTAACTAACATGCTAAAATGCCTATTTCTATCTCCTAATTCAAATAACCCTAAAATCTCTACAGCTGAGATAAAGAGTACACAGGATTCGATCAAACGTGATTTAAGTATTTGGGCTTGTTTTTCGTTTCGAGAGAAATTTAATTTAATTTGCATCGGCGCTAATATTCGTTTAATTATTTGCTGAAAATAAAGCAATCATAATTTATTTGTAGTTGCTGATGTCGATGTTATTGTTGTTGTTATTTTTATTGCCCAACCTTTCTTTCTATGCAGACAATTCTTGGCAAATGTCGTTTTGAATGCTTTGAACTTTTGCACTTTGAAAATGTTTTGTACTTAGACAAAAGCGTTGCCAAATTTCTCAGGGCAGCTTCAAGGTGTGGCCATTTAGAAATAATATATTTGTTTCTTTTTTAATGCAAATGTTTTAACATTCATAAATGTCAAATCTTCTGTTTCGTTTTATTTTCGTGTTCTTTCCACAATTAATTAACGTTTTATATTTCTTTTTTGCTCTTTGCAGGTGCGTATGAAAAATAAACGAACCAGCACAGTCTTGCCTGCCTCAAGTCCTGGATTATTGAGGCAATGGCAAAACTTGATTTATGCTAAGAACCCCACTCTGTAAGTTTGTCAATGAAGTCATGCATATGTACATATTCCTACATACATTTATATAGACTAAATATATAGTACATATATACCTACACACATATCAAAGACAAGGCAACGAATTCGACGCGCTAATCAAGTTGACCTTTGTGACAAGTTTTTTCTCTTCGTTTTCTGTTTTTTGCTGCCTTAACAAATTAGACAAAGCACATGAATAGGCACAAATACAAATACACACAGATGGTGCAAATAAACAAAAACAAAGCCAAAATTTATAAATAAAGCTACGCATACACACTTATGCTGTTGTTATACATACTTGTACATGTACATACTCGTGTATGTATGTGTATAGCTAGAGATTTATATAGAAGCCGCTTCTTTGTGAGCGCAACGCGACAACAATGAAATGAAATTATCGCTTTGCGCACTGAGATCTGTCAGACAATAGAAACCTATGACTAGGGTCTATATGTAGAACTACTATCAGTACTTATGACTAAAAGTTGTGCAGTGATGATGAAATATTCCTTGTAAATGGCGATAAATATGAAAATACGAAGCTGTCTCTGAAAACTATTACTTTTAATCGGTTGGCTCCAAAACATAGAACGATGTTCAAAATATATCCTCAAAAGACTTAAAGACTGTTTTGTCTTCTTCGGTTATCCTAGAAAAAACGAGTCGATATTAACAGCACTCTTGCTTCAAAAATATTTATTGAAACGAATATTAAGAGGCATGCTTTTTAAATGTTTCTCATTTGTTAATAGTTTGATTACAAGATACAGGAATATTTTAATATAATAATAATAATATTTAAATTTACATAAAGTTTCTTAAATATTTCGTAGCTTAATAGATTCATAGAGAAACGCTCAAGATAACTCACAACATGATTTTTTTTAGCTGACACTAGAAAATCGTTCTTTTTTGTATAAAATATATTTTTTTAGATCCAAACATTTCCATAATTTTTCAGTACAACAAGAAGAGTGCAGTCTGCATATATTGAGAAGAAGTCGCATAATAAATATAATTTATCTGCATGTGAACTAAGTATAGTATAAGTACAAGTATAGTATGACATTGTAACTATGAGGCGCAGATTATACATTAGTATATACTGTACTCTAAAAATAACTTTTATAAGAAAAGAGGAGTAATAAAAGCAACGTACAAGTATAAGCCATAATATGGATTCGATAGGAGCTTTGATTTTAACATTCATGCACCACAACAATCGAAAGTCTTACTTTTCTCTCAAGCCATAATTGTTCCTTAATTATTTCATTTGGTGTAAACGTTAAGTAAATGGGTTTTAAAATTTAGATTCCACTAAACTCAAAGCCTCGACGTTTTTGAAAGTTAACTGCGGGATCCATCTTGTTACTCTGCTCAGCTCAATAGTTGACCCTCTCTGCCTTTCTGCCTCCCTTTCGCTGCCTGTTACACGTTAAGTCTCTCTTGCAATTGCTTTCAATTGGATTCAATTCGCATTTTATTGCATTTGTGCTCGGTTCAACTGCTGATGAACTGGCACAAGCACGCATACACATATTTATATATAGATATATATACTTAGAGTCGCACATCACACATCACGTTCAAAGCCTCAAAATGCGACTACTTGTGAGGGACTTGTGGGTCCAGTGTAGTCTATGGGCCTGGCTATGACCTAGTTGGGAAGAAAACAACAAACTGGTTACTGGCCTACTACTAATCAGGAAATCAAATATCAATATACTACGCCACCACCACGCATATCGTATCGCATGTCATAAAATTAAATGTGCAAACAATTCGAATTTCCATTTGTGTTTGTTGCACACACACACACACACGTACTCGTACACACACACAAAATTAACATAATTCAATAAATTCGCTTTGTTGCCGCCCAAGGCAGGCAAGGAAAGAAATAAAAAGAGTTAACTGGTTGTTGTCTTGGCTGGGCCCCTGCGGGCGTTCAGAAAGCGCCGTTCGTTGACTGACTGGGTCAATAGACTCGAGTGGCGTAGAGCTCTCTGGGCCTTACGATATACAGTTTTATTATTGTTTTTGAGGTTTTTTTTTCCAACGAAACAAATTTATTCATCAGCGTAACGGCAGTTTTTGTCTTTTATTTCATTTGACCAGAGGTCAACAGCAACAAAAACAACACACCACTTTAACTTGCTTGCTATGCGTTCGCTTTAATACCTTTTTATATATATATCTGTGTATATAATATCTCTTGCAGGTGCAAAGCTTTGTTTTAACATGGAGCTACAACAAATGCATGCCAAATGTCGCCTAAAACAACAGCAACAACAAGAACAGCAGCAGAAGCACCAGCATCCACAACAACAATTGCACAGACAAGCAGCAGAAGAAGCAGCAACAACAACAATAAAAACAGCCACACCCATGGCCAGAAATTAAAAGCCAAAAAGTTGAAGAAACGCAGCGGCTACTCGCCAGCTTGCTTACAATTCAAATGAGAAAACCGAAGAAAAAAACGTTTTACATAGTTTAAATGAAACCACAATAATACCAGCAACAACAACTACAACAAATTTAACAGCAGCAAACAACAAATAATAATAATAATAAAGAAAAGCAAGAAATTAAACGCAAGCCAACTAAACAAACAAAGCGTTGTAAAAAGTGAATAAAGAAATTCGCAAACATTGCAATAATGTCGTAAAAAATTCAAAAAGAGAAGTTACAGTATCGCAACAACAACAAGCCAACAAAAAACGAAAAGAAAACACGAAACTGCGGCAGAATTGAGATTTGAATTGAACTTTTTGTGATGTAAGTGAAATGTCAAATAATTTAACAAAAACAAAACAAAAAACATGACCATTAAATAAGTAGCTTAATGACAGCTTTAGATAATTAGTTAGCCAGAAAAATAAGGGAGAATACGAAATGAAAAGAAATGCCTATGCTTAATAAAGCATAATTTAAATGTTTTCATCGTCACCATAACATTTAATTTCTATGCATCGTCAAATAAGAAAACATGTTCTTGAAAAGAACAAAACACATAAAGAATTGTCGAATTCCCCCAAAAATACTTGGACTGCTTGTTAGACGCATTAATGCCATATCAAAACTTGTACAAGTATAATCCAACCTCTACACTTTTCATTCTTCTTCTTGTTATGCTCTCCTTTCATCGTCTGCAGCATTCTTCTACCACTTCTGTAATATCACAGTCTCATAAATAGGCCGGAAGATTAAATAGAACTAATGCTGAAACGAGCTCAAAAATCTTGCTGTCTTTCTAACTTGTTTGGCTAGAATATCTTTGCAGCTTTAGGGAATGATTAAGTAATATGGTTTTTCTTTACCAAAACTTTGCTTTCAAAAATGTGCATATATCTGGGGCGTTTTTTGTGCACTATTTTTGATTTAAGTTGCTTACTACTATGAAGCATGATTTAAGGTCTGTAAGCTGGCGATAAGTATAGAACCCGCATTCCCACATTAATCATACGCCACGTTGCGCACACCGCAGCCGCCAGAGAATGCACAATCATATCCCTAGGCACCTTCTATTTACAATCAACGCTGCTCCTTATTATCCTGCCTTGTGCGGTCTAAGCCAATTTGCGTGGCATTCAGCTGGCCGGCGGGCGGAGGGGAATGGGAAGGGCTAGCGCACATAGCGCAGAAGTTCAGTGCACGTTGGCATGGCAATCGTCGTACGGCAACTGCCGTCAACCATGACAACTAACGAAGGTGGTGGTGCAAAAGTTTTGTTAGCAAGTGAGGTAAGTTCTATGGCAGGGCAATCACGCAATCGATTGCCTTTCATTCAATCAGGAAGCATTTGCCTGCGAATCATGAAGTTATGCCTGGCAGTAGTAGTTGGTTGGTTAGTTGGTTGCATAAAATAATTGCAAATGTTGAATGTTGTCGTTGCAGCAGCCACCATTTTTAATGAACATGATTAACGTGATGATGTTGATGATGATGACGATGTTGATGATGATGTTGATGATGATGTTGTTGCGGCGCCACTGGCAGGCACTTGTCATGTTGACATTTTAATGTGCAACGTTGCTTAATTGATAATTATGCCTCCGCCGCCATTGTTCGTTTAGAATTTCAGAGCAACACGAGCATGTCTGTTGCCTGCCTGCCTGCATCGCGCGTTGCACGTCATGATTAATATCTGTTCATTAATTAGACGACGCGACAGTCGTCAGTGGAGTGCAGTCGAGCAGCAGGGGAGCCCAACTGTCTGCTTCACTCTCTTAATTAGTTCTGAGATAATGCAGCAAAGTATTGCAAAAGTTTGGTGTAAAAGTTGTTCATCTATGTTTGCCTTTGTTTCTTGCAGCTCAAAGCTCATGCTTTGAAGATAATGACGTTGACTCTAACATTATGATGGTGATATGTATACGAAAAATTTTTAGTGCATATTTTGTTGCACTGTTGAACAAAAACCGGAGGTTCTATTTTATCTTAAACCCCTTTGTAACGGACGCTGAAACCAGCACTATTTTCCAATGATTCGAATGTTAGATTTCAGATTCTTTTAGGCCTTCGAATGTTTAAGGTTTGTAGCTTTTCGAAAAAGTCTGTTTTTCCTCATTCCCATCCAATGAGGAACAAACCCCCATTATTGAAGTCTGGGATTGGAATAATTATGTGCTTCCTATTTTTCTGCTCCCTTTGATTGATGTGAGAATTCTTTGTTTGCAGTATTTCTATCGGAATCTTTTAATCAGGTGTTCTTCTTTTTTATCAAACACTTATAATGTTTTTGCTCCAAACACTTCCAAAATTCTTCAGTACAACAAGAAGAGTGCAGTCTGTGTATATTCTATTCTATCAGAAAACATATTTCTAGCGTGAGATGTTGAAAAAATGTATATTATTAGATAGCTTAGGAGAAAGGGCAGAGATTTTAAAATCCAAAACCTGCATTTTATGCAATCAAACAAATGTACATATCCTTAAACATTTAACTACAAAGCCCTTAAATAATATTAAAATTTTTTGGATACTATCCTAATATTATTAAACCACAAAATCAGAGATATCACTGATTATAAGAAATTTGGATGATATGCAATCGTTTTGAGCTCTTCAGACCATAAGTCCATCTGATCGCCCACTTCTCTACAAATCAAAGCTGACCTGCACTAATACATGCATACGTGTACATGCAGGTGCACATAAATATGTAGATGCAGTGTACATATGTACGAGTATGTGTGCATGTGTGTGTGTGTGTATGTATGTATGTAAGTGCATGTGACTGACAGCTGTCAACTTGTTGTTGGGTGCACTAGCCATCATTGAGGTTGCCCAAAGTGGTGCGTGCCGAGGACAAGTGCGCTTGTTGGTTTTGGCTTTTAACCTATTTTGGAGAACTTGGCAATGTTTGTGTGCGTGCTGCGTGCTGCGTGGTGGTAGATAGATGGTAGGAGATGGCCAGCATGAAATGGATGGTTAAAGAGCAGCCAGCTAGAGCGGTTTGCGCAACGCATGTGCAACCAATGGGTGGATAGTTAGTCAGTCAGTCAGTAAGTTGGCGAGTTATCGCTGTCGTTGTTTCATTCAGTCAGCCAAATACATATGCATTCAGTTTCACCAACACAGACACACACACGCACACACACACACATACTCGTATATGTGCAGACAATCAACTGCGTATGCAAATTGTGGCCGCCGGCATATGCAAATGGGAGGGATGCAAGCGACAGGCAAACAACCTACGTGAAATGTTTCAGTTGTTTTTGCAGTTGCAGTTGCGGTTGCTGCTAGTGCTGTGGCTGCTGTTGTTGTTGTTGTTGTCGCTAGCCAAGCAAAAGTCAATAAACAAAATGAGGAAACTAGGCAAGGAAAACAAAGACGCCATGTAACTGACTGATTGAATAAATGAATGAATGCCTGACTGTCCGTCTGACTATAAACGAGCTTATTTATGTGTGTGTGTGTGCGAAATATTTGAATAATTGACAAGCGCGCCGAAAAAGTGCAGAAATATTTTGCGATAGGCAGCAGCGACAACAACAAAATCAACGCCATCTAGAGATGTGCACAGATGCTCTAATTGGTATAAACATAAATTTCGTATTTGAAAACATATATTAATGAGCATAAGGATGCCAGGCTCACGAATCACGGTGCTCATAGCTGCGTTTATACGATGCCTCCAACCCGTTATCGGGTTATGACCTGCACGTCGCTTCCATCTTGTCCCTCCGCAGATAGAAAGTGCGTTCTCTACCTGGTCCTTCCAGCGAAGACAAGTTCTCCCCCCAACAACCACATCGAGCACTTTTTACGCTGGAGTTTCTTAATCCGTATCCGAATGAGTTAGCATCATTTTAAACATTAACTTAAATATTTATTAGTGGATATCTAATTGAGATATAACTTTACGATATTTTGGTTGACGCTTGCAAAATAATTGAACTGCTGAAATTACAATAATACAATTCCAGAACTGTAAAAAGAATAGCTTTTTTGAACAGCACGAACTGTTCATTACCAGTAGGCCCAGTTCTAATACTTCAGATATGTAAACAAAAAGGGCACTTAATTTTGGAATTAATCGTCTATTGAGAGCATGTCATTTTGGAAAGAAATATTGTACAAAATGTTTTCAAAATTCTCCAGAAATACAAATTAATAAATTACTTTGAAATTTGAAACTTTATAGACGTTATAAAGATAAAGCAATGATTTCTTTCTATACTCCTTTAAGTTACGTACTTACATGTATAGATATATATTTACATATATGCGCACACCCTCTAATTATAAAGCTCCAATGATACCCAAAAGAACGAGCCTTTCATATTTTTCAGTATTCAAGACTTCAATCTCTAAATACTTATAACGTGGAATTTGTCAAAAAAGGAGCATTGCGTTACAACATTGTTGCAAGACAAATCGTATTAAGTGATCGTGAGTCACGTGCTAACGTAATTAATCACGAGCCCAGCGCTATTACCAAAGAGAAAAATGTGTGAGCGCAGCGCGAGCAGCGGCGTCTCAAGACAAGCGCGGGCGTTGGGCGGCAAATACTGTTGGCGGCTTTCTGGCTGCTCTCACACACACACACACACACACACATATCACAAGTGTGTGCAAGTGTGTGTTAGCTGTCAAGAAATATGCGCAAACATTTCGTAATTTTGACGATTGGGTGGGAAGGTGGGATGCAGTGCGGTCGCCATCGTTGTCTGCAAATTTGTGAACTGTTATGTAATGATGTGTGTGTGTGTGTGTGCTTGTGCCTTTGTATGAAGCTAATTAAAATAGGCAACAACAGTTGCATCAATAATTTAAGAAAAGCGCCACAAAGGCAAAAAATGAAAAAAATTAAAAATGAAAATTTTGCCTCAACCTGAAAATGTCAAGCGTCTAGGACTTGTGTAGATTTATCGTTGTTGTTATTGTTGTAGCAAACAAAATG